ACTATAATGCATTGTGGAAATAGACAAGGGCAGTCTTTTCCCCCTGACATTCGCTACACCGGTAAGGATTCTTTGACATTTATCCTTCCAAGAGGAGAAAGAACACAGGGAACCCTTCAGTGAGGCTGCCCAGAAGGGGGGGTTTCTGAGTGAAGAGCCAGTGCCCTCACACATGGAATGGAGTGATGGATGGCTCTGAGCTGGGCCACAGGAAAGCAGCAGACCCTCAGCCTTCTGTTCTCTCTGCAAGCAGGCAGAAGCAAGGCAAGCACAGGTGTCAGGGAGGGAGGGAAGTCATGGTCCTTTACCTGGCAACAGTTACAGGGTACTCATTCTGGCCATGGGAGGAAAAAGACAGAGACAGAAAAGCCAGACCCTAAGAGTTACTGAAAACAAGACAACCAGATTGATCCAACTTTGGCTCTTTCACTAAAAAAATAAATAATTTTTTTTTTAGGTAACATTTGACCTAGAGAAAGACACAAAAAGCAAGCCATATGCCACAAAGCTAAGGAATAACTTTTGTGTTATGCTGAGGCACAGTGCAGGAAGAAAATCTCTTTAAAATCATACTTTATTGGATCAAAAACTGCCCTGGACAAACTCCACCCCAAATGAACATAATATACATTACCAGGGGATTAGAAGAAATAAAAAACACTAACGTTTATCCACATTATGTACAATTTCATATTTTCCTGATGTGTCTTTGAGGCCTTTTCTAATTTCCTTATAAGAAATGCCAGATTGCTGATGTGTTAATTTCTCCTTCAGTACTTTCAACTGGACTGTCCCATTCTTAAGCTGGCTGGCCATTGTGGCCCTCTGTGTATTCATAGTCATCCTGTACTTCATTCCACTGAGATACATTGTCCTTGTCTGGGGTAAGTAACGCCTTTTTTTTTTTTTTTAAACTGTCTTAGCTGCTAAGAACAAACTATTTTTAAGGGATGAGTTATACTGTCAGTAGTTCCCTATNCAGTGCAGAAACACAGTATCTCTGTTTGCTTTGTATAGATTCTATACATTTCTTTTTAAGGTTATGTTTAAGTATTTTATATATTTTATTGCTATTATGAAGGAAATATTTTTCACATCATAATTTCAAACTGGTAAGCCATTCTTTTCAATGAACTCTGAGAATAACCAGCATACTTCAATCCAGCTTGATTTATTCTGTATGTTGAAAAATATAAGAACACTTTACCTCACAGACATAAATGAACTTGGCTGGTGCTTGAGAGAGAACGCTGAAGTCCATGGAGATGATTAGAGCAGACCAACTTTGTAATTATGAAAGGAACTAAAAGGAGCCACTGGTCATCCATTTTATTCTAAATTGTAAAAGTGCATAGGTGAAATTAATGCATTTTGTTTAATTAGTGGGAAGGGAAAAAAGACAAGAAAGTGATGCACCCATGTCTGTAATGACAAGTGAAGGACAACATTTGAAGACAGTGGGGACTCCCAAGAGTATGTAATTTTTCCTTATACTTTGAGCCTTACACATCTCGTCTACCTCGTTATCTGACAGTCCATTTTGGCAAAAGCAAGATGAATAATGTAGGCAATCTCTCCCACGGGAATTAAATTCAAAACGAAGGCTCTAAGAAACTAGTACCAAAAGATCATGTTATAGAACTGGCCACCGCATCCTCAGTCCCACTGTACCCTGTAGTCCTTGGAGGCTGTACACGTACCTGTCATTCGCTTGCCCTTGGTTTCCAAGGTGGCAGAATGCCAGCCTTAGCCAAGTGTTCATAGTGCAAAGTGCTTTAGACTCTTCTGAAATGAAAGTCAGTATGTAAATGTGCAACATGACGACATTATTATTCTAGCTTCCTGGCTGCTTTCAGCAAGCACTGACTGCCACATGAGGTCTCAAGTGTTCTGGCACAGTGCTCAACTGTTCAAAAGAAGTTAAAGTAATGAAATTGGATCTACATTTCCATAGCTATTCAAGCTGGCATGGAGGAATGTAGTCATCGAATCGGGGTTGGATGGTCTCCACCAAACAGCCTAGGCAAGTGCCTGTGATGCCAGGCGACTAAGCAGAATTTTGTCGTGAAAGGCCACCACTATTTCTTCCTCTGGGTCTAAAATTACAAAATGTGCACACTTTCCCCAAGCTCACACCACTCTCTGGGTGCTTTATGCTCAGACCCCATCTACCTGTTCCCTGGAGCATACCAGCTTTGCTTAAGTTTTAAAATGAAGAACCAAGCACAAAGGGGGGAAAATGTTTAGTGAGAACCCTAATATAGCATATGTAACTATATTATGAAGTTTGTGGCTGTTATTTGAAAGAGGGGGCCAAGCTTACTGTGTATCTCATATATCTGAGGTACCATCTAGGAAGTGTCTGCTTCATGGATTTGTTGACCTTGTCATTTTTTTTTTTTTGTAGTTTTCATTGCTCACGGGTCCTCTCATTTGCACATAGCATTCTCTGCTGTTGAAATACCTGGAGCGAAGACCAAACTTATGTGTGTGGATGACCAAACTTATGTGTGTGGATGGTGGAGGTTAAAAAACTGGGTCTGCTAAGTAGTGAGTCATGGTGGATCCGGGGTCAGCACAGATTCCAGGTGTGGTCATTCTGAGACATGACCGGTCTTACATCTTTACACCTCCCCTCCCCCCAGCTGAAATATTTGTGTTCATAGGGGCAGGAGCAACAGAATCTGAGTCTCGTGCTTTGCAGCCACCTTTATACTAGCACAGGTCTGTGATGCTGGCTACCCTTACTCCTCCACCTCTTTATATCCTGAAATTCTCATGGGCTCCCTGTATCTTTATGTATATGCGGACATGAAGTTTATTTGAGTATAAGAGGGACAATTAGAAAACTCAAGCACTGAAGAATACCATTACTCATACAGAGCCTCTCTATTTTATTTTAGGACAGTGAAAAAAAGGGATTTATGAATAAAATCTATGCCATCCAGGAGGTATGTATCAGTGTCCAGAACATCCTAGATGAAGTGGCTTCCTGTGGCGAAAGGATAAAAAAGTAAGTGATGCTGACATGTGAGTCTTGGCCTTCTGTGGGACAGTGTCCATTTGTTTCTCAGAGGGTGAAATGCCACATTCTTTTTGGCAGGGGATACTCCTTCTGGATGATCTATTGCTCAGTTTCATCATTATTTACTTTGTTCCTGCCAGTCTTTGGTTTTTATGAAAGTTCTGTCAATTTCCTTCCTGAAATTTAGAACATATTGCTTGGAAAGAAGTCATAGTTGTAGCTTTGAAGAAATAACACCGTCCTAAATTTTAGCACATTTTCACAGTGACAGTTCTTAAACAGAATATGAAATTATGATTGAAAAAAATAAACCAAGCAAAATAAGAATTTCAGGTAATCAAGACACACCTACATTTTATTATTGGTTGTTAAATTTTCATCAAGTTAAAA